GGTGGCACATCCTGTAATCCCAGCTACTTGGGAGGCTGAGGCAAGAGAATCATAAGTTCAGGCTGGGGATTTAGCTCAGTGGTACTGTGCCTGCCTAGAAAACGCAAGGTCCTAAATTTGATCCCTGGTATCAAAAAAAAAAGAGAGAGAGAGAGAGAGAATCAAGTTTGAGCCCAGCCTGGGCAACTTAGTGAGATCCTATCTCAAAATATAAAAATGGGGGGAAAAATATAGAGGGCTGGAAGTGGAGCTCAGTGATAAAATGATTGCCTTAACATGTGCAAGTTTTGGGTTCAATCCCCAGCACCTCCTCAAAACAATCAAGGAAGGCAGAGTATACAAGAAATAGAGTTTCCAATGTTAATATCCATAATCCCATGGTAAAAATGTGTTTAAATTTCTATTATTGAATAAGGAACCCTGCAAAAGATATACCCTAAAGAAGAATACATAAACTTAATCCAAAAGTTTTCATAAAACCTTTTTTTTTTAATCCTAGAATTTGGGTTGAGCATTAAAAGGAAATGAAACAGGCAAACAGAGTAACTTAAACCCTACCAAAGTTCTGTTTTTGAGGGAAATGGATAGTAACATTGTACAAATTTTTTTTTTCAGTTGGCAGGGAAACAACTGTTTAAATATAACAATTAATCAGGCATGGTGGCACACACCTGTAATCCCAGCACTCAGAGGCTGAGGCGGGAGGATCACTGGGAATTCAAGGCCAGCCTGGGCCACATAAGTTGAAGGCCAGCCTGCACTACATAATGAAATCCTGTCTCAAAACACCAAAATAAATAAATAAGACAACTAAATCATGATGGCATACTAACACTTTAGTGTAACAGTTTAGTAATGTGGAAGAAGTGTGATTACCAGTGCCTACTATAAGAACATTTTAAAAACAAGCATGCACTCTCAGTAAATGGAAGAATCAGTAGTACTTACAAAAGTAAGAAAAGAATTCCTCTGAAGAGAGTTTGATCACTCACCACAACATGGGCACCAGAGCCACAAATAATAACAGTAATGAAGACTAACACTGTGAGTTTCCTGAATTACACCAGGAGTTCTGCTAATGTCTTACATTTAATAATAAGTCCTCATCACCATATATTTCTGCCTCTACTGGAGACTGTCTTGAGCACTTCGGCAAACAGCCTTCTCAAGAGGCAAACAGAGGCCATGCCCACTGAGCAGAACTTTCCCCCGACTCCAAGGCACCTGTCTGTCCCTGGAGCAGCACTATTTCCCTTACAAAAACACCTGACTTCTCCACAACAGGCCCCTCCATGCTCCATGCTGATTCCATGCTCACCAAGCAACTTCCAGTTGGCCCTGGCTCTGTGTGACCTACCTACAAAAAGACCACAGCTTAGCTCTGGGCGCACACATAAACTGGGGTCCCTGGCAGCTCCACATCCCAGGATAAAATCTCCACACTTGGGGGAGGGTAGACAGGGGGAGGGGATATAAAAAGAATTGAGATGTGTGATGTACACGTACCAACTCCCCACGATGAATGTCATCATTATGTACTGCAGACACGTACTGATAAAAATTTTTTAAATTACTCAACTTGTGTCTTGGTTTTACATGTTATTTTTATTGAGCTGGGATATCACAGGTCTTCCCCCTGTGACGCTGGATTTTTAAGCCTACACACTGGACTCTAGGCTGTGCTGATCTCATAAGGTAACACTGCCACATTGGAGTACCTCGGCCCAGCTGATACGTTGCCTCACTACCTCCTTCAAACCTCTATAATTCCCCTTAAAGACTTTCACAGCCTCTAGAAGGAAGAAAAAAAAAAAAAAGTGAAACTCAGAATGAATCATAGGCAGAGAATTTCAACAGCTCTGAGAAGCTATTGCTATAATGAACAGCAATATTTTCCTAAGGGAATAATGTCTTCCCATTTTTAAGTCACTTTCTGTAGCTCAAATACAGTGAATTTGGACAAAAGTTAATCTAAATTAACTAAGTTGGATATAAGTGTATTAACCCTCTTGGTTTTAATTTCTTAATTTAGTAGAAAATCCAGACATTTGTAAAAATATTAAGGAGGGAAAAAACACACAATAGCCCCACTCACCCAGCTTAAGAAATATAATACTACTAACATAGTTGAAGCCCTGGCGATAGCATTTCAGTGGAATTATTGTGTAGCCCTTATAACTGTCATTATAGAAGGAAACGGTATTCAAGTATGCCAGAGGATCAAAGACTTTTTTTTCTCCCATTCGTACTTAGGCAATAGTGAAGCTTTATCAGACAAATCTATATGCTATGATAATAGGTTTGCCTGGCAAAGGAACGGTACAAGATACCAACATACTGCTACTTCTTGGTATGAAGCACACACAGGTTATATGTACACACTAGGAACAGGTGGTGCTCCACTCAGATTATTTCTGAACAGTCATATGGTAAGATTAGGCCTGGCACTTGAGCATCTGTTTATATGCTACAGAACAGAGCTTCTGGGGCTTTCAAAGGAAACGTTTCCTACACAGACTTTTTTTTGGTACCAGGGATCGAATTTGGGACCTTGCGCTTTCTAGGCAGGCGGTGGCACCACTGAGCTAAATCCCTGGTCCTACAGACTTTCTAACCACGACTGCAGTTAAATGTTGGAAGCAAAGGGATAGTGTCTCCACAAAGAAGACGTTTTCTAGGAGCCACACCTGCACCCTCTCAAACCACGATGCTCTTCTGCTGAAAACACACTTCATACCCACAGTTCCATGAAGCTGCTTGTTCCGAGAGACCAAAAGCATCTAATGGGAGACTGCAACCTCCCTAGCCCTGCACTTCCTGACCAGAAGGGAAGTGGTGCAGTGGGTGCAGTTCCATCCGCATTAGTGCAATCCATTCCATGCCTCTGGGTACAAAAATAAACAAACCATACCTCCTCAAGAAGCTGGCTTCCTGAGGTTACAGGCACACCTTAAGCATTTGGATGAAACTTATAGAAACAAAAAGAAATCAAAATAGGAAGGGAAAAAAAAAGGAGAGATGGATGAAGGAAACAAAAAAAGATGGAATAAATGCAAGGAAACATGTTCAGCCCTAGGCCAACTCTGCCAGTTTACTCTCTTCTTCTTCTTGGGCTGATCCATCAAGTTCCTTCCAAGGCTGTCCCCTCCTCTGATCAATCCTGAGGGGTCGGCCATGTCTTCATTTTCTCCCTTCATCAGCTCACCTAAATTCCCAAACCTCTTTCCTCCAGCCTGGATCTCTTGCCTGAGCTCAAGACAGACACATCTCAATACCTGTCTGCTCAATACCTGCAAATGGTGCCAACTGGCACCTCAATGTTGGTATTTATCTCCAAAACTAAACTCTGCTCTTCATTTTTTTGTTTCCCCCTCCAATTATATCTCTCCCCATCTACTGAAAACCTGAATATCAACCTGAACCCCTCCCCAGCTCTTCCCCAAAACCTGGTATGTAGGTCCTCAATGTATGCTCCAGTTCCCCACCCACTTCTCCTGATCCCCATCCAAACTCATCTGCTCCTGAAAGTCTCTGCTCTAATCATTTTCCACAAAACTCACTCATTGTAAAAACAATCATAACACACACTTGCTTAAAACTCCCTCTCTCTTCCCCACCATCAGGAAAAGTGCCGGTCCTTTAATAAAAATCCTGCACCATGGACCTGCTACTCTCAGCCTGTCCTCCCCACACTTTGGGCTTCAGGACTAGCTGCCTTCACATCTCTGGCATTGTGCAGTTCCTTTTGTTGGGACAGTCTTTTCAGTCCCTTCTAGGATTTCCCTGCCCCATCCTTAAAGTCACAGCTCAGAAACACTTTGCCCTGGGCAGCTTTCTCTTCGCTGCCCCTCCCTTAGCCTAGAGCACTGTCTACTTTCCCTATCACAGCATGAACTGGTAACAACACTAGGGTACACTCCAAACACAGTACTTAGGTACTTGGTATTTATAGGTCTTCATACTGAATATCAAATGCTTTTGCCAGGAGCAAAGTTTATTCCCTTTTTTTTTGGAGACAGAGTCTCACTATGTAGTTCAGACTGGCCTTGAACTCATTTTGTAGCCTAGGCTGGCCTTGAATTCAAATGCTGGGGATTACAGGTGTGTGCTACCACACCCGGAATTCCCAACCTTTTTTGAACTGCAAAATTAGTGTGGGATTTTCAGTTGGAACTATAACATGGACATTTATGTGGAATAACCTGTTTCTCTTTCTTTCTCTTACCACAGAGCCAGGCAGCCAAACACAAGTACGATCCTAGCCTTAATCAGAGCCTTTTTTTTTACAGGCCTTACATGGCATTTTAAATTGAAGACACTAGGTGGATATGTGAGGACTCCATTTCTCATCAACTAGATTAAGGATTCCCCAGGGCAAAACTTCCTATGTTTATAACAGACTAGTTATTAGACCTTATGGCTCTACCTGCACATTAAGTCATACAACCACCCTGAGAATTCAGCGCCACTATTATCCCTATGGTTTAGATGGGGAAACTGATACTAAGGAACACGGAATAACCACAACTAACCCAAATCAAAGTCAGTAAATATGTCTCTAGAATCTTGGCTTGTGGAAAACAGCCAATGAATCAACACTAAATGAATGAAGTCAATAAACTGTATTAGAGATCAGGATAACGCACTTGGGATTATATTAGAAGACAAGAACTACAATGCATTCATAATCTACAATGCATTCATATTTGATCTCAATTACATTTTGGGAAAACATAAACACACTCAAAATAGAGGCACTGTTAATTCTCTTACAGGGCAACCCTCAGAAAGACTTTTTGTTCTGATTTTTTTTTTTTTTTTGGAAATGGGAATCGAACTCAGGACCTTGTGCTTTTTGCACTGATCTTTTTCCCTCCTCTAGGGAGGATGGCCTGAAGGCTCAACTGTGACATCACAGGGACTGCTTTGAGTTTTGGTGACTGCAAGCAGTAAGTAGTGAAGCCGGGCCAGAGAAGCCTGCAGCCTCCTTTGTAACTTACCTCCCGCAGCTCTAGCCTTTGGGCCACAGCCTCGAGGCTCTCCTGACCAGTGCTCTCCACAGACAGTGTGAATTCCACAAACTCATTGTTGAGCAGCTGGATCCGTGCAACCAGGCAGCTCTTGCTGGACACGGTATAGCGCCGGGTGCGTTTCAATTTCAATCCAAATGGCAGTGGCATCTTCTCCCTTCCAGAGGGGACGGCTAAAGGAAGAAAAGCACCCCCACCAATCCAGAGGGGTTTTCCGAGGTGACTCCTCTCTCCAGAAGGGATGAACGCTTTCCAGTCTCTGGCTGCTCACCCAGCAGCCGCTGACGCCATCAAAAAGCAAGTGAGTCTCGAAAGGCCGAGAGAAGGGAGCGTCCACGCCAGCGCTGAGAAAAGAGGAACACTAGTAACAGGAACGATGGTCACTCTGGGCTTTGCTTTTAAAAATAAAAATCAGTGAAGGTGCATCTGCGGATGCCTCTCCACTGGAAAAAGAAGGTACTAATAGGGTCAGAGAGGCGGTGGGGAAGTTTATCCTCACCAGAGCTGAGGGCTGGGCCCTGGATCAGACTCCACCCCTCACTCTATCACTACTGACAGTGGTCACAATCCGGGGCTATTGTCAGGACAGTCAGATAAAGGCCAGCTCCACCATAATCCCAAATTTAGTAGTTAGCATCAGTGGTCATACATCTGGATGAACCCTTTTGAGTGCCCCAATACGCCAAATGTCAGAATTCTTTATACCCTGAGTCAGGTAAGAGCAAAACACCTCCAAAAGAGCCAAGCAAGAGTCCCAGTCTCTGTAGGCAAATTCACCCTGAACCCTGAATGGGAGCAATAAGCACACCCTCTCACATATGGCAGCCGTGATGGTCAAAAGTGGTAAATTCCTTAACAAATCTATATAAAAACCCTTTCTGGTTTACAAATATTCACACCACAGACAGAGATCGATAGATGATTGACTGAATGACTTGTAGGTCACAAAAGACCATACAAATGCCAGTTATCAAGCAAGGGCAGTTCTGAGAAACGTGTCCCGATGGAGACGCCTAGATTGGCGCATCAGAGGATGACAGGCTTTAAGAGCCATCCTGGATTATGCGGAGTGGACGGGGTTCAACTAGCTCAGGTAGCCAGCTGGGCGGTGAAGGGTTCAGACTATCGCGTTCTCCCAGGTAGAAGAGCACGCGGCGTTGCTGGGCCAACAGGCACCCTCAGAGGTCCCGGAACTCTCATTCCACCGCCGCGTTTCCGGACGGAAGTGCTCGGGTAGGACCAGCCCCTACGCTCCCGGGGTTCCAACCTTTGCGGGGCCAGTTCGAGCCCTACAGGCAGTAGAGAGATTGACAGCCTTCTGTGTGATGCCGTATTTGGAGTCCAAGCAACCCAAAATACGCCACTTACAACGTTTTAAACCACACCTGCTGATGGTAACTTCTGGGGAGAGACAATTGGGAATAGGCAGCAGCTCTAGCGGGCAGAGCTTGAGAGAAGCGGCTCCCTCCGCTGCGCGCTCCCGCGGTCCGAGCTGGGACTCGATCCCACAATCCTCCCTTGTTCCCAGTCTCGGCTCGGCCCGGGGGTGATGAGCACTCGGGGGGTGGGGATGGTGGGCTAGAGAACAGGGTTTAGCCGTCAGCCTCGGTTTTGTTAAACTCCATTCCACAAATGTGTATGGCATTTCTGAGCACAGGGCAGCGTAAAGACCATCTTGAGAAATCTAAGCGGAATCCTAAGCCATCGCTGTCCTTAAGAAGATTACAAGCGTGCTATAATTACATACAGAAATGGCTCTCTAATAAGGATCCGACCACGGTTTCGTTGTCTGTTTTCTTTGTGGGGTGTGTGTGTGTGTGTGTGTGTGTGTGTGTGTGTGTGTTTAAAGCTCTGGTTATTCCCAGAAAGATATAACAAAAAGTTAATACGAGATAGAGGAAGGTTGGGTGGGGGGGAGCCTAAAGCTACCATGATCACTGTTACAGCATGTTACAGCATTTCCGGAGTGCCTTCTCTAGGTAGAACCATGAGAATGGAGGGACATAAAAAGTATAAATACTATAAATGCTATAGTCTCCACTTGCAGAAGTTTCTGATGCTCTTTGATGTTTCAGGAGTATAAACTAAATAGATGAAGAAAAATAGGAGGGTCAAGAAATGAGAACCTTAAATAACAAGGTTTTAAGCAGAAGACTGCCTGATAAACCAACAATGTAAATTTTAAAAGATTATATACACACATCATGTATACTAAATACGCCTTCGTGAGAAAAGGTGGTGGATTTCGACTTGATATGCAAATTATTCTAACTTGAAACAGGACAGATAGTGTGGACGAAGAGACAAGATATTATATATATGAAAGGAAAGATAAATATTTGATTTGGAGGATGTTCAAATATGGTAGTTTCTTCACCACAAAGAACTGCCTTGAAGGCAGTAGATACTACATTATATAATTTAATTATTAACTTAAGCTCTGATTATGCAAACTCAAAAGTAAAATTTCATTTGTCCCTGAGATTTGGAATGTTTTACAGCATCAGGGATAAGGAAAAGCCACTGTTTTCTCTTTCTTGTTTTGGTGTTATCATGTGATTGAAACGGATGTGTGTATGTATCAGGTACATTTTCTCCCAAGATAATAGCCATAAGAATGGCTTGCTTTTTGTTTTCTTATATAAAACCCACTGTGTTAAATAACATTATTTAGTAACTTACAAAATTAATGATTACACATCTTAATTTTGCTATGTGCAGTATTTGCTACCAAATGATACAAAGTTATGAGTGTTTGGATATAATATTAAAAAGGAGTAGAAAAAATAAGATGCTTTGAGGAGACTCTTTAAGGTGTTAAAAATAATATGCAATAATTTGAAAGGTAGCTGGGTCTGGATTTATAATTATTAAAAGAAACACATAATTCCTAAATAGCTTTCAAAAAAAAAAAACCTTGGAGATACTTTGCTTACAACACCATTCTGTTATCCAGTAAGAAAATAGGTACATATTAAATTCTGCTTTAGTACGTTTACAAAAAGCAGTCTGCAGTATTTGTGAATTCATTTTAATTTCTCCTTTCAATATCATATCCCCTTTCAAAAGTTTCTCAAACACATTTTAACTCTGAATCTTGTAGCGCTTCCCATTCCCTTGTTGCTAAGGTCCTCACCACGTGTAATTTGCCAGTGCTGTTTCAACATAAAAGAATCACTAAAAGAAGATAGTATTATGACATTATTTAAATAGCTACATCTATTGCATTAAATCAAACCTGTTTCTCGCGAACAAAACATTTGTGCAAAGACAGCCTACCATAAAATGCCCTTGAAACAAAACGGACAACTATTTTCAGAGTAAAATATTGTCATATTCCAAACTTTTAAAAAAATCACAGCTATAAGGCATATAGCGATTATCTCTTGGAGTGTTCTGAATATGTTTTCCACCGTACGCTATCATAAGGCTTTCTCAGCAAAAAAAGAAAATAAGACGAGCATGCCAAGAGCGGCCAATCTAATCAGGATTTGCAGAAAGCTCAAGTCGGAATTTGCAGATCCAAGAATTCTCTTTCCAGCGTAAACATGCTTTACTCCAGAAACAAAACAAGGCGTTGCCAGTTCTTCCTTAGGCCCCCTCTCCGCAAAGTTACCAGGCAAATTTCACACTTACTTATTCCAAGAGGCACAAATATGCCCGAGACTTAAAACCCTGATCCAGAATTCAGCCGCAGCCATCCGCAGAGGTGTTCAGAAGCTCAAGACCCCTTTTAGAACTCGCTCGAGGGGATCAAAGAGGACCTGGGGAAGAGAGACTTTCCTCTTTGTTACGCTCCTGCCCATCCTCCGGCACTCCGGGGTCGCGGGCACCCGTCCGCCCGCCCCTCCCCCCGCGGGCCGCGCGCTCACCTGCACCCGCGCCCGCATCCCCGGGGCCGCGCGCCCCGCTCAGCGTCCCGCCTCCCCGGATCCCGCCGCGTGCCCGCCGCGCCCGCGCCCGCACCCGCACGCCGGCCTGCGCCGCGGCGCGCTCATCGGGCCCGCACGCCTCACTTCCTGTCTCCAGCGCCGCGACCCGCAGCGCATTCCCCAGGCCGGCGATAGCGCGGCGGCAGCAAGGGCAGAGTCCCGGAGCGGGAGCAGCTGACGCGCCGCACAGACACCCGCGGGGTGGCTGGGGGACGGACGGGCAGACGTGGGACGCGCGGCCGGAGCAGCGGAGCGGCCGGCCGGGCGGGCGGGCGGATCCGGGGAGCGGCGGCCGTGACCTCAGAGAGTTGGAATGCGGGCGGCGGGGCCCGGGGGAGGCGCGGACAGCTGCGCCGGGCCGCCGGGGAGGGGGCGCGCCGCGGCTTTTTTTAATCGTGTGACCACTTATTTTGAGAGTTTCCAAATAAAGCAGGGCTTTTAATAAAGAGGGGAGGGGGGATATTAGCTCCTTCCAAGGGGAAGGGTTGTATTCCTGCGTTGTGATTAGGTGGTGGTCTGTAAAATGCTGTTGTTGGTGGAGTTTATTCTTGTACGTTTCTTAAAGACGATTCGGATGTTACACGTCTTCGCGTAGCGTTTGCTCCGAAGGACGGACGGTGTACCGTAAAACTGGACGCCGGTCAGTACTGAGTGGGAAAGCACCCCTCTCACAAAATGCAGTCGTTGGAAAGCTTCCAGTAACCTTTGGTCCTCCAAAGAGAGCTGTATGTGAATGCAATACAGACTAGAGCTGTAAGGAAGGTGACCAGTTGTTTGGCTTCAAATACCAGATGCAACACTCCCTAGCTCTAGCTCGGTGATCTTGTGCAAAATCCTTAGCCTGTCTGTACCCGTTTCCTTTAAAATGGGGAATAATAGCAACCATCCGATCCACTAGGGTAAAATACATGAATGGTTTCATTTAATTCTAGACCCCCACCAGTAATACTTCACATTAGGTTATTTTTGGTGGGGTGGTTTTTTGGTTTTTTTATATATTGAACTACATTATTGCAACACATAAGATGAGGAAGGAAACCGCGTGACTCTACCACCATTACAATGGAGTATTTGATCTTTACTTGGCAGGTGGTTTGAGGAGTTGGAGCAAAGAGACTTAATTTATGTAAACTTTAATTTCAATGATTTTGTTTCAATGCTGTTGTTTCTGCAAAGCTTTTCAATGTTTCATTTCATTTAAATCTCATTTTCTCCAACATTATCAAGCACTTATTGAGTGCTTACTATGCTTGAGACAGTCCTCGTGCACAAAGGATTTCTGGTGTGGATGAGAAACACTATACACCGCAAGGCCTAAGTTGGGGCCACTGTCATGGGTGCCTGAGTACTGTTGAAGAAAAGGCCCAACAATACTCAGCTTGGATCGTGTTTCCAGATCCAAAACTACCTGTATTTCTAATGGGAAAAAAAAAATAGGTCAATATTTTTATTTTTATAATTCATACTTCCACTCGACTCCACCAGAGGCTCCATTTGTATGTAAAGAAAGAAAAAAGGCCTGAAAGTCAATATTTCTGGTCTGCTAGACTAGAAATGCTGGAATTGTATATGACTGATGTGCCTTTGTCATCTTCGGTTGTCATCCCAATTTGGAATTTACCCCTTTGAAATGTCTCTGGAACTCTCATCTGTTCCCCAGGTGCAATGTAATCCAAACCCTCGCCATTTTACATCCTGGTTGTTGCAGCCAGGGTGGCTTGCATCTGGTTCCTCAGTCCTCTCTTTTCCACACTACTGCTGGCTCACCTCTTTCTTGAGTTTATCACTTGGCCCTAGTGGACTCCCAAGGTTAACCTTGACTCCCCTACCTTTATGGGCTTTCTAAACACCTTTTTCTCCTCTCCTGGGACCCTTCTACCCCCCATCAAGCAGCTTTCCCAGGGCAGCACCACCTCCAATGCCCCTTCCATTGATCTGAGTTTTACCCTTCTCACTCAAGACTGCTTCCAAGACAACTTCCTAGCCACCTCATTCCACAGTGATCTCCACACTTGGCAGGAACTTTAAAAATTGTTTCATGGAGGCTTCTTTTATATCTCCTAGAATTCCTAGGAGGGTACTGGGCAGAGAGTAGGGACTAAATAAAAACTTGTTAATTGAATTGGGAAGAAAATAAAAGAATTTTAAAAATAGAAAATGACCATAAAACCCAAGTGATGTTAGACAACTGAGTTGAACTTTCTCCCTCACAGTCCACAGATGCCATTTACTGACCAAGTACTTAAGCTCTGTTTTCCCTCAGTCATGTTAATTTGCCACTAGCATTCCCATGGCGAGGCATGAGAACAACCCCTTCAAAGGGTTAGACATAAAATTATTATTGGCTTATGATTTCTATGGGAATGAGGTAATTTATATGGTTCAACCCCAAAGGTACAAAAGGGGAAGGGTGAAAATTGTCCTTCCTGCTCTCCCTGCTAGACACCCAGTTCTGGGAATAACTAGCCGTAACTTGGTCCTATGTATCTTTATAGATATTATCTATAGAAATATAAGTAACTACATCTGTGTACTGTCTTTACCTCTTTTGTAAGCCAGAAAGCAGCATTTTATACATACCTTTACACTGGAAGGTAATTCTACAATATACCATAAAGTTGAAAAAAAAGTCTACACGTAAAGTGGCAGGATAAAAAGGAAAGATAGTGTAGTTTTGGTGGTGTATTAACTAGTATTTTCTTAGTTTAAAACACACTGTATAAATTAATCATCCTATGCAAGAGTCCAAGGATTGTTCCCCACCACCAGCACCACCACAAAGACAACAATGTGGGGCTAGAATAAGAAGGTGAAATCTTCAATCTTGAAATCTTCATCCTGAGCTCTTTCTACCTCTCAACACTGCATCAGGTGTATCACCTTTTCAGTTACAAAAGAGTGAGATTTCCATAGACCTCAGGGAAATGATGATGTCAATATTTCTGTTCAGATGGACAGGAAAATGAAGAAGCATGTCAGTCTCAGTAGCAAAAGTGATTGCTGTCGGCCTGGGGATTTAGCTCAGTGGTTCCACCACCTGCCTCGCAAGTGCAAGGTCCCAAGTTTGATCCCCGGTACCAAAAAAAAAAAAAAGACAAAAGTGATTGCTGTAACTGTAATTCCCAACACTCAGGGATTTTGATCTAAGGGTAGACATGGTATATGATAGTCACAGCTGAAAAACACTGCCCCCTTCATCCCACATGTATTGGAAGGCAAATGCTGCAAGGAGAAAGATGAATAACATGCATCCCTGTCATGGATTATATCTAGATGTCCCACAAATTCTCCTGTGTTCAGAGGCCAGAACTTTGGGTGATGACTGGATTATGAGGGCAATACAACTGACTTGCTGTTAGGAGGTAGGATCTGGTCAGAGGAAGCACGTCACTATGTGCCATATGTTCCTTCTTGGCTCCTTCCTTGATTTCCTTCTTCCTATCTGCCATGCTATGAGCAGCTATCTCCTGCCATGATTTTCTCTGCTATGTTCTCCTGCCTTGGAGCCAGCCAACTTTGGAGCGAAAGGTGAACTGAAATAAACTTCTCCTTTTAATTGCAGGTGTTGAGTATTTTGTCCCAGTGATGAGAAAAGTGACTAAGACAGAATTTGGTACTAATAGTGAAGCTGTTGCCATGACACTACATGACCAGATTTTGGAATTGCCTCATGGGAAGAGTTCGGAAAAGTTTAGAAATGCTAGCTGGAAAAGCAGCCCTAGAATGTTGTAAATTGATATTGATGAGAGATTCTGGTCAGAGTTCAGTTGGAAACAAGTACTGCATTGGCAGTTGGACCAAAGGCCATGTGTGTTATGCTCTGGTAGAAAATTTTTCTATATTTTGCTCATGTTCTGAGACTTTGCAGGAGACTGAGATTAAGGAAGGTGGAATAATTAATGTGGCAGAGGAAATTTCAAGGCAGGCCAATATTTAGTCTGTGGCATGGATACTGGTTGGGCTTTTAATCAGTGCTACAATGAGAATCAAACACACACACACACACACACACACACAAAATGGCACAATTGAGTGATTTCAAAAAGTTTTGAGTTTCAGCAGAAAGGAAGCTCCTATAAAACTGAGACCTCTAAAGCTGGAACAGAGGAAATCTTGGCTTCTAATAAGATTAGTAAGAAAAATAAGCCAATACTTTACATTGGAACAATAAAAACAGGTGCCTTGAGGACATGTAAGGATCCAGCAAGAGCCTATCCTTCACAAGCTCAAATTTGCAGAGGTAAAAGACTTCTTTGAATAGAGAGCCCCAGGGCACAGTGCTCCAGGATGGACACCAAAGGAATTGGTTCCCTAGAATGTAGATCACAGTACTCAGTCATCCAGGCACTCAGAAGCCTCTGTAGCTGTGACTCAAGAAGGCCTGGCTACTGCTTGTGCAGACAGCAGACTTGGTGTCATCCACATGGTGCTTGTTTAACAGGCATGCAGCATGTGAGAGTTGTGGAGTCAGGGAGGCTTCCACTCTGATTTCAGAAGATGTCTTTCCAAAGCCTCATGTGCTCAGAGGCCAGACCTTTGGAAGATGATTGGATTTTGACTTGCTGTTAGGAGGTGGATTCTGGTCAGAAGAGGCAGATCAGTGTGGGTGTGACACAGAAGGTTACAGCTCCCTTCCTGGCTCCTCCCTTGACTCTTTTTCCTGTCCACAATGCTGTGAGTGGCTCTCTTCCACCATGCCCCTCTGCTATGTTGGAGCCAGCTGACTCTGGACTGAAACATGAACAAAAATAAACCACTCTTCCTTTTAGTTTCAGGTATAAGGAATTTTGTCGCAGTGACAAGAAAAGTGATTAAGACAATCCCTGTCTTCAAGAACTCACCAGGTACCCGGGGATTTAGCTCAATGGTTTTGCCGCCTGATGTGCAAGCGCAAGGACCCAAGTTTGATC